GAGCAGCTTTGGGACTGCTTCAGTGACACCCCAGGGCTGCGTTCGGTCACCCTTTGCCCCAGCGACGCCGGCAGCAGCATCTCCCACTGACTTCTGAGAGCGCGCAAATATCGACGCTGCTACCAGAAACCCCTGGGAAGGGACGCGTCTCCGCAGCGAGGAGGTTTGCCACAGCCAGCACGCACCTCCAGTTGTGCCCGATGACAACCAGCCGTGCTCGTCATCGGTTTTTGGGGCTGGCGTGAGTGCAGCCCGACTGCAGGCGACTCCGGCAAGCACGTCCGAGCAATAGAGCCATAAACACAGCCCTGGAAATTCACTCCAGCTCGCAGCGTAACTGCTGCCCCAGTGACCTCCTCGACACCCAGCGATGATAAACCGGCCCCGCTGCAGGGCCAGGCTCGCTCGCCGGCAATATTCGAGGAAGGTGGTGATAAGATAAGATGCTTCTCCTCCCCAGCTCCCTGAACTATGGCCCCGCCATCTGCACCCGGCGTATTTGCATGTTAAACGCAGGGGGGCAGGTAAAAGGCATGCGGTAGTTTGCCAAATTACGGAATTTCTGGCAGCGTTGCTGGGCGGAGAAGGAAGCGCGGGAACGCCTGCCTCCCGCTCCAGCGTATTTAACCAGGGGAGCCGTGCCCGGAGCCGCATCCCTGCTCAGCATCCAGCCGCCCTGCGGAGAGAGAGCGGGCGTGGGGGAGATGAGCTGCGGCAGGTACCCGGTGGGCGTGAAGGCCGTGGGCTTGATGCAATGCAGAAAGCAGAAGGTACTTTAATGGGGTTTTGTTGTTGTATTTTTTTTTTTTTCCTTAAATATTTACAAATCAGGAGACCAGAGGGCTTTCTGAGTTCCTCCTGAAGGGGTCTGTTTGCTCATCTCCCTGCAGCGTTGGGATTAGAGCCTGGGGATCTAGGACAGGGCTGCCTGGGACTTGCTTTTTAATGGTCTTAATATCATATGAGAATGGTTATCTTGGATTCGGCTGTCTTTCTGCTCACTATGTCATAAATTTCTTCTGGTTTTAAAAACGATTACCCATTTGGGGCCCTAAAACTAAGGAAACACTTTTGTAGGTCTAATGTTTAATTTCATTTTTTAATGTGACAGTCTTGCAGCCTGAAGCCAGAACTAAACCGCAGGTCCTGGCAAATGCTGAAGGCTTGAAAGCATCCATTATTGAACACGGTGATTAACAAATGCATCTCTTTTCCCTTTTATTTCTCCAGAACTACATGATGTTCGTGTCTTGGTCAGATCAGAACAACATTCTCATCTATCGGACATTTGAAGACTTTAAGAAATTCCATGTAAGTGAATATTTCTCTGAAAATAGGATTCCTGTCCTGGGGAGGGGGGAGAGAGCCCAGCCTTGTGTCAGGGCTGCGAAGCATCACTTACTCTCTCCTTCTCTTCGCTTTTTAGAAAGAGCTGAAGAGAAAATTCCCCATCGAGAGCGGCTCAGTCAAGAGATCCAGCCGGACAATACCCAGCTTTAAAGGTAAGGAGAACAAATCACTGAGGGACCAACAAACACAACAGAGCTGTCGGGGACAGGGACTGACAACACAGACTTCAGTCTCCGAGTCTGACCTTCCTCTGGAACAGATTCACAGCTCGCTCCTGCTCGTGACCCAGCACTGCTGGGTTACATCAACGTGCTCGGGTCTATTGCTGACTCAAAATACCCCAGAAAGACTTTTTTTTGATAGATAATTGCACTTGGTAAATTAATGTTACACTTTAAACACTGGCCCAGAGCTCCTTACAACATTTACGTGTGAACAAAGATAAATTTTAGATGTTGAAAAATCGTATCAGGCGCTATGAAAAGTGATAGGAGGCGCGGGGAGCTTCTGTCTCAGCTGGGGCTTGTGTGGGGAAGGGCGGTCGGTGAGGGCACCCCGCTGCGCTCGAGGCATCCAGATCCGCTGCTGTCTGACAACACCTTTGCTCCTGTTATTTTAAAGATGCAAATACAAAGCAGAGGAAGAGTGGGAAGCTGAACAGGTGCCTGGAGGTACTGAAACTGCTGGAAACTTACTCCCAGGAGCTGCTGAAAACGGGTGCTAAAATCTCCCAGGGGGAAGACGTGATTCAGTTTTTCAAGGCACAGACCCAAGACCTTGATCCCTCCTTTCCTGAAAACAGGTACGAGACCATATTTGTATTTTGTGGTTGTATGCATCTTCACGAAACAGAAACGTTATAGAATACAGGTAGAAGAGAAACAGCGGTTACATCCCGGGGCAGCAGAGCAGGGAAGCTCTGCTGAACGCTTTACTGATGCCTGGGCTTTTCTTAGCCCACTGCACAGATGATTTTACCAAAATCAATACTAAACTCAACCTTCCATGTGAGTTTTCAGTAAGCTGATATTAAGCTTTACTTTTCAGCCTTGTGATCATGCCATCAGAAATTGGAGGGGAGAAGAAAAACCGGCTCCCCTCTATTACAGATCCTCAGGCATCCCAGAGCTACCGATGCATCGAAACCTTTGAAACCAAAGACACAAAGAACAAGGCTTTCAAAGTCTCTGAGAAGGAAATCGTTGAAGTGTTAATCAAGGACATGACTGGTACGTTTGATAGGGATTCTTCAGTCTTGGGGACAGACGGTGTAGATTGAGTCACAGCCTGGCAAATGCTGCATCAGTAGCATCCCGGGTGTGAGTGGGTGTTTCGACGTGTGGCGTGGTGTGCTGACACAGATTTGCACGAGAGGAAAGAACAGAGCATCAGCGCGGCATCAGCCGGGCACTGAGCTGCTCTGCAGAATGTCCCTCCTGTCTCTGGTGGCAGAGCAGCCCCTGCCCAGCGATTATGGTCACCTGTCTGCTTGCAAGGCTGTTACAAACCCTTTCCTTGCTGTTTGCTGCAGGATGGTGGCTGGTGGAAAACACAGACAAGCAGATAGCCTGGTTCCCAGCCTCCTACCTGGAAGAGATTGACGTCCACAAGGACGTCCAGAATGCCTTGAGCTCCAACCAGGAGGGTAAGTCTGCTTCTGGCTCCCTGGGACACCACGCTCCTCCTTCAGAAAATGAGTTCTGCAAAAACCCCACCACCTCAACCATTGCCTGGGGTCCCTGCCTGGAGCTCTGACTCTGCTGATCCGCTCTGCTGCGAGCCGGGGGTCTCTGAGCACATCGGTCACCCCCAGGGACGCCTGCCCTGCAGCTCTCGCTTGCTCCCCAGGGCTGCCGAGCTGGTCTCTCGCAGGGATGGAGGCATTTTCTCCGCAAGGCAAAACCCACCTGCCCCTTCTCTCTGCAGGCAGCCTGTACTTCGTTGTGCGGGCCTACGAGTCTCAGAAGGCAGACGAGCTCTCGCTGAACAACGGCGTCGTGGTGGAGGTGGTCAGGAAATCCGACAACGGGTGGTGGCTGATCCGGTAAGGCGGCTTCGCCCAAGGTCTTGTTGCCGGAGGGAGCCGGTTGCCTGCTCCTCCAGTGTGGGGGGCAGAGGAGCTCCCCCGAGCTGACTGCCCGTGGCTAGGGACGGCTTCCCCTTCCTCGTGCCCCACGTACAGCACGGTCTGCAGGGTGGGTGTCAGAGGGATGGGGCCAGACTCTTTCCAGTGGTGCCCAGCGACAAGACAAGGGGCAACGGGCACAAACTGGAGCAGAGGAAGCTCCAGCTGAACCCGAGGAAGAACTTCTTCCCTCTGAGGGTGACGGAGCCCTGGCCCAGGCTGCCCAGGGAGGCTGTGGAGTCTCCTTCTCTGGAGATATTCCAGCCCCGCCTGGACAAGGTCCTGTGCAGCCTGCTCTGGGTGACCCTGCTTGGGCAGGGGGTTGGGCTGGGTGACCCATAGAGGGCCTGCCAACCCCAACCATTCTGTGATTCCCCCAGGTGCTCTGCTCCCTCCCGTTGGTCTGAGCTGGGAGAAGGGCTCTCCTCAGCTTTACTTTTCGTCCTTCCCCCTCAGATACGACGGCTGCACTGGCTACATGCCCTCCATGTGCCTCCGGCCCTACACAAACCCCCACCACAAGCTCCAGACCATCATGACCCGCGGGCTCAACATCTCCACCCCAAACCTCTGCTCCTCTCTGCTGGCTCCGCAGCCCCGGGGCGAGGCCACGGATCAGCGCGGGGCACAGGCTTGCTCTTCCCTTGACGGGACCGAAGAGGACCTGAGCGCTCCGAGTAGCGGATCAAGGTCTCGTCCCAGGGCCTGCTCCAGCCCAGACCTGGAGTCAGACAGCTCGTCCCTGGGCTCGGGGAGCAGCAGTGGGCACTCTGCCTGAAGAAGAGCAGGCCAGGAGCTCTGCCCTGGGGCACGCCTCGGCCACGCACAGCAGCAAGTCTCCGCGCCTCACCCACGAGGACAGGAACGATTCCGGCTTCGTGGAGTCGTCTGCAGCGGATCTCAGCGACTCCCTCACTGACCCCGACTCAGCCGCTTGCGTCCCCAAGGTGCCCGCGCGCCCCTCGGCCCACGAGATCCTCCAGAAGTGCAGCACGGTCACCAAGCGAGCCGTGCAGCAGTCCTCCTCCC